GCTGCAATAATGGGCTCAAATATGGCCAAGACTGTGAGTCTGGTACCGGACCTGTCATTGGGAGTAGAAAGCTCCGTCTCTCCCGTGGAACGAACAGCAGGTGGTTATGAACTGCTGACTCTGTGACGTGCATGAAAACTTCAGATCTTAGTTTCAAACTGAAGATTATTAGGCATACCCATACTCCCAAAGATTTTACATATACTTGATGCTGGCAAATGCCTTAATGATAGGGTAACTATCTAAAATTGAATGTTTCCTTGGAGCAAAATATTTCCAATACCACAGTAAAAAGAACGCGCTATAAAACTGAACTCATCTTTCCAGTGCATTATAATATTTCTACTGATCAATATCCACTTATTGCTTCCATTCACTAGCTCTCTCCAGAATAAAACGTTCATCCCTTTAGTAGTGTCATCACAGAAATCAGTTTGGGGCTACTCGAGGATGGGGTAAAATTAAAGTTAAAGTCCTCTGCAGTTTCATTTTGTGCTTTTAAGAGTCCCTTAACCCTCGGGGATGTTATTCAAAAGTTACAATATTAATTATATGTCTCTGAAATTAAAAGGGCACCACAAAAGTGTGAGCATGTGTTAATGAGCAGGCAAAACTTCTAACGTTGCTGCTGTGATGTTTTTTGCATTTGGTTTTTTTTTTTTTTTACAGTAATCTGGCTGGTTAAATTAATACAATATATTAAGAAATGTCCAAAGATTACATTCATTTTAAACAACCTTTATATTTAGAAAGTAACTAGTATAATATCTGTAATAAATTACAGACATACAAAGAAAAGAAATGCTTTCAATAACTTTCATTTATATTTCAGATAAATTGTTGCTTTGCTAATCACATTCTACTAATCAAAAATCCTCACAACTGGACCAATCAGCAACATTGTGATAAGAAATGAAAACAGTGAAATTGTCAAGGGGTTCACTTTACCTGGATCCACACGCAACACCTGTGGGAGCCGCAGTCAAGAAATCCAATGATGTGTTGCAAGGAACCAGCCTGCTGCAAAAGCCCTCTTCAAAGTGTTAGAGTAATGACACCACTTTGGGGGTGATGGTGCACCTGACCCAAACGATGGCTTTCCAATCGCCTCCCATGCGTAGGAAAGCGGGGCAGTGAACAAAGCAAACCACAGAAGAATGGATGCCTTTGAATGATGGTGTTGGCCAAGAAAAAGGAATTTACAGTGTACAGCCAGAAGAACAAACAATTCTCTCTTGGGAGAAATACAGCCAGAATGTTCCTTAGAAGTAAAGATGGTGAAGATTACACCGCATGTACTTTTGAGAGGTTCTCAGAGGGAATCCCTCTCTGGAGGCAGATATCATGCTGGGTAAGGTAGACAGGCGGCGGAAACGAGGACAATTCCCAATGAGGTGGACCGACACAGTGGCTGCCAAAATGGCCTGAAATGGTGCTTATGAGGTGGTACAGGCCTGGGCAGGGTTTCACTCTAGGGATCGCCATCAGCGGGAATTGGCTTAAGGATGCCTCGTCCCTAGTCGTGTAAGAACAAAAGCCGTCCTTAAAGACAGCCGAGCCTTTACTTTGAACATCAGGATGCAAACGGTTCCTAAAATATTTAGGATCTAGGTTTTTTTTTTATTTAGTAAGATTAAATGTCAGATAATTTCTGAAAATATTTTACCGATTGTAACATGACATTAACTTTTTAATAATACGTGGCTTTCTGTTTTAGTAGAAGTGGGGAAATTAAATGCAAACACTAGTATATCTTTTAACAGAAAGAACCACAGCTGAAATGGGTTTTAGGAAGAAGAACATTAGCTGAAAGACTACCCATAGGGTGCAGTAACCCCACGACGCATGTATAGACCTGAACTGGCCCAATGGAGTCCTCTCTCCCTCTCCCTCCCTCATCCTCTCCAGAAGGGCCACCTGTTTTGAAATATTCTGACGCAATCAAATTGTATTACGAAAGACAAATCCATCTCCATACTGCAACAAGATTGCAAGGGATATCGAAGTACTTTCGGCTGGCCAGAATCTGATGAATGCGCAAGCATTCTTGTATGTCTTGTAGACGTGGCAGGGTCGGCTCTCGACCACGGCAAAAAGAGACTATCACGCACAATCCTTTTTTGTTTCCCAGTGCATTAAGTTATATTTATAGGACGCTGTAGTCTACTAATACGCAATATCATGAAAAAGTCTGAAAAGCTACGAGAATTACCAAAATATGACAGAGAGGTAAAAAAAATGAGCATGTGCTGTTGAAAACGATGGCCTCCCGCAGACTTGCTAGACTCCAGGTTACAACTTTCGATTTATTAAAAAGAACTATGCTGAAAGTCCAACTCGGGGGAGAAAGTGCAACAGAATGGAGTTGGCCTGTACCAACGGAGGTGAGATAAAAAATACCCAAAGCCCCCTGCCACCGAGTCAACTCGGACTCAGGGCGACACTGCTGGGCAGGCTGGCACTGCCCCTGTGGGTTTCAGAGACAGTGGCTCTTCATGGGAGCAGGACGCCTCATCTTTCTCCTGCGGAACGGCTGGCGGTTTCAAACTGATGACCTCATGGTGAGCAATGCAGCACTCCATCACGATGCCACCAGGCTCCTGCCGAGGTGCTACAGTGTTTGCCAAAAGTAGTTACCCGTTTCGCAAAGTATGAAAGGTTTGGAGGTAAATGAAGTATTTGCAGTAATTTTTAGGACATTAAATACTGTTAATAAATCTAGTTGCTAGGTAGACATTCCTAAGGATCCCAATTTGAGGTCTTTCTTTTTAGAAGTAAGGGTATTCAACAAGACCACAGTCCAAAATCCAAACTCAACGGCTATCGAGTAGATGTCCACTCAGAGATTGACTCTATAGGACAGGGTAGAACTGTGAATTTCCAAGACTGTAACTGTTTTCACTTTAAAAAAAAATCATTTTATTGGGGGCTCGTACAATTCTTATCACAATGCATCCATCCATCCATCGTGTCAAGCACATCTGTACATTTGTTGCCATCATCATTCTCAAAACGTTTTCTTTCTACTTGAGCCCTTGATATCTGCTCATTTTCCCCTTCCCTCCCCCTCCCCCTCCCTCATGAACCCTTGATAATTTATAAATTATTATTTTGTCGTATCTTACACTGTCCGACGTCCCCCTTCACCCACTTTTCTGTTGTCTGTCCCCCAGGGAGGGGGTCATATGTAGATCCTTGTAATCGGTTCCCCCTTTCTACCTCACCTTCCCTCCACCCTCCAGGTATCGCCACTCTCACCACTGGTCCTGAAGGGAATCATCAGACTGTGACTGTTTACATGAGTAAAAAGCCCTGCCTTTCTCCCCACAGAGCAGCTTGCAGCTTTGAATTGCAAACTTTTAAGGATCATGGCCCAATTGTCCTTTGTTTGTTTTGGCAGTAAAATACTGGAGAATTATATACTATAACTTTTACAAATCAGATATTTAAACTCTGCTAGTAAGAAGCCAGTGGGAATTGAGGCTCCCTAATTGATCCTAAAGGAGCCCTGGGAGTGTAGTAGTTGCATGTTGGGCTACTAAGTGCAGGGTTGGTAGTTCAAAACCACCAGTCGAACCTCGGAAGAACGACAGGGCTTTCTACTCCCATAAAGAGTTACTGCCTTGGAAACCCACAGTCGGTTCTACCCTGTCGTGTAGGGTCCAGATGGGTCGGTACTGACTCAAGGGCAGTGAGTTTGAGTATTGGGGATGAGCCTAGATTCTTTTCTACTATTTGGAGAGAAAAAAAACTTTCATTTGCCCAATTCCGTTTTGAAAGGTCTTAGTACTGTCCATCCATCAATTGCTTTCCTCTTGCCCGAGTTATAGTTTTGCCATTAATCAATTGTCTAAAATATCTAGAAGACTTTTGTTCATCTCTATACCGAATTCCACTCCTTGACAATCATACATTTAAATTCAATAAGCTCCTTGTCAGTTCGATTACTTTTTATCATAGGTTTATACTCTGTGAATTCTCTTGGGAGTTGCACTAACCACAGAAAAAAGAATGAGCTGAATAATTTATTTGGGAATAAACTCAAGCTTGAACTCTATTATATACAGGCACTGAGGATATATGGGCATTTGAAAATAAGTGGGAGAAGAATCAAGGAAAACTTGCATCATTCACTAATTCTATGTCTTAAAATAGTCTGGATGGCATTACAATATTTTTTATGTATTTTCATGTGAGGACAAAACAAAGGCAAGCAATTATACCACTGCGAAACTAAACACGAAAATGTACCAGAAACTACAGCACTGAATATGATACTAATAAGCCTAACAGTGAAAACTCACTTTTCCATTATATGATGTATATTTTGTATTTTTATGCACCTCAAGGCTATATATACTTATACACCTCAAATTATTATATTATTTCCTTTCAGAATTAGCATAAACAACATTTACAGTCTACATTTATTTAATGTACGTTTATCATTTAATGTGGTTTTGTGGACACTGTTTTACAGATTTTAGAATTATGAGGCGCATTCATGATTGATTCTGATACAGAAATGTATCAAGTTAGAGTACTCTTCAAACCTCCTACAAAACTATCAAATAAAGACACAAAAACTGTTTGAATACCAAAATATTAAGTGTCATAATAAATTTATCTAGGAGATAAAATTTTTCCCTGCAAGTACAAATAAGGACTTATTAGTCATGTAGATTGCAGCAGAAACACTTGCAAAAAGAATTTTTTTAGCCTCCCCAAAGTTCTAACTTAAAGAGATTATAGATTGTTGAATCAACAGGTTTAATATCTGCATTTATTAAAAATCCCCCTAGGCTATAAAGAGCCTCAATAACCCAACATTCCTACTATGACCATGGTCAGGTTTGTCCCAAGTCGTAAAAATTAAGATAAACTATCAGCCTGCTTGACGCAGTCTTGATACACGCCGTTGGCATGCAATGGGTTTTGAAAGGAGCCTCGTAGGAACACAGCAGAGAAGGAAGCACAACAGGAAATCACGGCATAGCTACCTCTCTCCGTCGGGAAGCCCAGCAGGTTTGCTTGATCTTCCACACCACGGCAGCCACCAGTAATAAGGACAAAAAACAACTGGAAAAGAAAACACAGGCCATTTTTAATCACAGTATATTTCCAGTGTGTCTGAAATAATAAAACCATCACTGGAGGATTCGAAAACACATATGAACATTACCATTTTCCCCATCAACAACTCAGCAAAAAAAAAACGATCGATCAATTGTCGATGGGAACATACCCTCTCAAATCAAAGCAAACCAGTAGGAAAGCGCCGTGTCTCTTTCCTGGACTTGACATTGTGATGACCCACTCGGGCCAAGCAGGCAGGGTACCTGCTAGATTTCCACTTGTAAGTGAAAGGACATTGCTCAATACTGGGTTCACAGCACTAGGCTCTACTCTCAGAGCTCCCAGTGATTTTCGTGGCTTTCAATTCTGACCGCAAGTGGAAGGATTTTAAAATCTGTACTTTAGACTTGTTGAAATAATAGCAATCGTTGAAAGAAATGTAAGAGATTATTGAGTTCAAACTCCATCCCAAGAAAGAAACTTCCAGTACAACTCTAAGGGTGATCCAGCTCCTAATGAAGTCGGAAGTCATGGATTTCCAAGCCAGCACCTTCCCTCTGTAACAAGTCAAAACGAATCCGCCTCTCGCGTGTTTGCTGTTTCTGGGCTATTCAGGGCAACTCGAGTCTTTCTCATGGCGACAACGGCTTCTCCTACTTGGAGAGTGAGGCTTCAGACCCTCTAGCCCAGTGGTTCGCAACCAGGACTGGCTTTGCCCCCCAGAAGAGAGTGGGGGTATCTGAAGATAATCTTGGTTATCGCAACACGTGACCATCCAATGGAATGCTCTCCAACACTCTGCCTTACACAGGGCACCCCACACAACAAAGGCGGGAGATTACCCTTCTTTGACTGTACTCAGGTCAAAATGTGGTATGGGAATTGATAGCTTAGCTAGAGTCAGAGGACCATTTCTTTGCATTTCAGTCCTAGCATCAGACCTGTAAATTTTAACAGAGATACAACTATCACCTCCACATCACTATGTGTGAACTAAACTCACTAATAGTATTCACAATGATAAAAGCAACTAACCCCTCACTGCCATCCAGTCAATCCTGACTCACAGCAACCCTACAGGACAGGGTAGAACTGGCCCTGTGGGTTTCTGAGACCGGAATTCTTCATAGGAGTAGAAACCCTCATCTTTCTCCCAAGAGTAATCTGGTAGTTTTGAACTGTTGACCATGCTGATAGCAGCCCAATATGTAACCACTACACCACCACGGCTCCTAATAGAAGCAGCTAGTCTTAACCTATATGTACCAAGAACTACATTAAACATTTAACATACATCGTTTCTTTACTTATTACAGTTGTATAGTATGCTGTGTGTCACTCAGCTCAGTCCCACTGAATCCATGCCGACCCCTCGGACAGAGTGTACCTGTGAGTGGGGTTTCCGGTACTGTCAATCTCTACAGGAGTTGAAAGCCACCGCTATCTTCCAAACGTATTGTGTGTACTCTTGCCTAGTCATTTAACACCAGAGGAACCCAGTCCTGGCGAGTTTAAGTGAACCCTCCAAGTTACAAAAGCTGTCGGCTTCCAGTTCTCCCCTTATCTCCGCTTCCTTCCACCATCACAGTTCTTGCTGGAACACCAAGGCCACGTTCACTGAGTCGGACACTCGACACTGCCCGCTGTGTTTGTTTAGAGTACTTTCAGTAGAGCCTAACTGTTTTCTTACCAACATTCACTTGTACTTCACAATTCAACACGAGAACTCCAAAATACATTCTTTTATGATCTGACGGTTCACAGTAATAATAAAGCATGCAGCTTGAGATGAGAAAGCCTAATAGCTTAATTTCTCCATTAGAAGCTTAAATTCTCTGATGTAAATTTTATCATACCAGCGGAAAGCGTCACATCTCTACTGAAGCAGAAGACCAGTGCAAACATTTTCCATTTTCCAAAGTAAAGTAAATGTTCTCAGAGCCCCAGTGGTGAAGCGCTTGGGCCCTCATCTGCTCACCAAAAGATTCACCCAAAGGTCTAAACCTGACAGCTGCTCCACCAGAGAAATGGGTGGTCGTCTGCGTCCAGAGAGAGCCACATGGTCTTGGAAACCTGGAGGGCAGTGATGGCTAGGAACCCACTCCATAGCAAGGGGGAGGGGGTGTCTGTCTGGGGGCTTTGGTGGCACCAAAAAGGAAGCCCTGGTGGCACAGAATTTAAGTGCTTGGCCAACTGAAAGATGGCTCAAAGCTCCAACTGCTCCACAAAAGAAAGATGCAGCAGGGGACGTTAAACGCAGACATATGGGGATGGTGATCCCAAATTAGATGACAGATTCAAAGTATGATTTAAGAGTGTATGGCAAGTCACTTTACAAGAAATGTAGAGGTTGAAATTTCAATAAAAATATAAAATTAAAGACAGCAGGCTATACTTTATTCCAGTACACACACACAGAAAAGAATCCTAACTAAATAGATTCTTAGTAGCTGACATGAAGTTGTCAATAAACATTGGCTAAATGAACGGACTGTCTCTTTGTCTTTTCTGGAATGCTTCCTTAACTGATTTTTAGTAGTCTATATATGTTTTTCTGACATCGAATGTCTTGCTAGAGCCAAAATTAGTACTTTTAAGAAGGTAGAATTAAGTCTCGTAATAACTTAAAGAATGTGTCCAAGGAAGTTCATTTCAAAGTGTAATGGTTGAGCCTTCTATCCAAGTAGAAAAACACAGCAAACTTGGCAGTTGTCAAGCTGATTCTGACTCATAGCAGCGCTATAGGCCGGCGCAGAACTGCCCATAGCCCTCACAAGGCTGCGATCTTTCTCGAAGTACGCAGATGGCCACACGTCTTCTGTGGCATGGCTGGCGGGTTCAAACGACCAGCTTTTCAGTTACCAGCACAGCACTTAACAACTACGTCACCAGAACTCCTTCCATAGCAAGGTCACTCTTCGTAAACGCCATTGGTGTATGATAAACTACATTTCAAACAAATGGGGAGGTTTTTGCTAATATCTATATATAACTTAAAAACAAAACCCAGGAATATTTGCTTCATTAAAAAGCAAGAGAACGAGAGAAGAAGATAGGAAAGGAGGGAGGGAGGGAAGGAGGGTAGAAGGGAGAGAGGAAGCCAGGGAGGGAGGAAGAAATAAAGGAAACCAGGAAGGAAGGGGACTTGGGGGAAAAGAAACATTGTTAAATTACTCTAGTATCCTCAAACATTCCGCGTTATCAGCCCCTGAGGGAAGACACCATGCTTGGTAATAAGCAGTGGTTCTCCACCTTCCTCATGCCGCGACCCTTTCCTACAGTGCCTCATGTGGTGGTGACTCCCAACCATAAAATGATTTTCGTTGCTACTTCATCACTGTCATTTTGCTACTGTGGTGAATTGGGTGACCCCTGTGAAAGGGTCATTTGACCCCCAAAGGGGTCGCAATCCACAGGTTGTGAACCGCTGTAATCGAGGCTCTTTGCAGAAGAAAAAGACCCTCACTGAGTTGGATTGACACAGTAGCGGCCAGGCTCAGACACAGCAACAAGTTTGAGAATGGCTCCCAACTGGAACCCCCTCCTCGGCACCGAACAACAACGAGTTGAAAGCTCACGTTCATCCTTTGCTCCAAAGGTAGGAAATCTGAGTGGACGGGAAGCCTGCAGGACTACAGGACGTCCATCAGCCTGAAATTCCTTGGCCCGCCATGAAGGAGGGCTTGCGTTCCTTGCTCGCCTCTGTGCTTCCGGCTCCCTTTCCCCCCCACACTCTACATGAATGAGCTAAAACCACTGCGCTACCTGGGCTTATCCCATTCTCTTTCCCCTAACATCTGTCTTAAACCAACAGTCTTAATGCATAGAGTCAAACATTAGCAGCCTTCAATGCTGGCGTCCTCAAACTACGGCCCGCCGAAGACATATATCCGGCCCACTGGGTGTTTTAGCCCCATTTGGTTTTTTTAACTTCAAAATAAGATATGTGCAGTGTGCATAGGACTTTGTTCATAGTTGTTTTTTTAAACTATAGTCCAGCCCTCCAACGGGTCTGAGGGACAGTGAACTGGCCCCCTGTTTAAAAAGTTTGAGGACCCCTGCTTTAATGTGATCTTGTAGCAAATCTATCAGAAATAAAAATGAGTTTTCACTACTTCCTTTCAGTCTTCTTTTATTATGATTATACAGTAGCTTATATTGTTCACTGGCGTGTGTGTGTGTGTGTGTGTGTGTGTGTGTGTGTGTGTGTGCAGGAGTAATAATTGAACTTCTCCTTTTTAATTACGCTCTATGATAACAATGCCATAAGATTTGAAAAGTTCAACACCCCCCTTCAGTGTAATCCTCCCCAGAGAAATAAAAATTGTAAAAAGATTTTAAAGAGGAAGTATATGAACTGTAGAGATTAAAAGGGAAAAAAAGAGAAACATGGGAATTTAGGAAGACATATTTCAATAATTTCTTTTTAACCTTCATAAAATGGTCATTATCAAAAGGTTTCTTTATGTGAAAAAAAATCATGGAACTCATTAGGTATTCTCAGTAAGGGGATATTAAAAAACCCAGTAGAATTAACACAGTGCAGTCTGAGGTTAAATTCTAAAGCAGGTTTCCAGTGACAAAGACATATTCTCTAGTGGTAATCTAGTTTGCCAAATGCAAAAAGAGATAACATTGTCCCCAGTTTATAGCAATTTAAAGTTAACTGATCATAAACATCATGTCTTAAATACATATTCAGTACTTAGATGAGCACATTAATCTTTTATTTCACCAGGAAAAAAATAGGGGATTATGTTGAAATACAGAAATATTTTATTAAGTAACTTACCATACTTCCAATAACTGCTATTGTAGAAAATTTCTTTCAATGCTTTAAAGAATACCTCGTTAACAATTTTCTTACCAACTAAAATGTTAACAAAGTAAATCATTAATTTATAAATGCAATAAGACTGTGTGTATTATAAAGAAAAAATGACTTATGTTTCAGTTATCAGAATGACAAAGATAGAAAAAAATCAATCAATCCCTGTGGGTGG